TTTAGTTGTCCGATTAATTTCTTTCTATTTTTAGTAGAGACGGGGTCTCGCTCTTGCTCAGGCTGGTCTCGAACTCCTGACCTTGAGCGATCCTCCCGCCTCGGCCTTCCAGAGCGCTGAGATTACAGGCGTGAGCCACCGCGCCCGGCCGAGATTGCTTTTCTCATGAGAACATCTCTCTCTCAATTAGCTGGTGATTTCAATTAAGACTAAGCTTAGCCCTTCCCCAAAATGAACCCCAGGTGGCGGTGGAAGTAACTAGGAGCATCGAGAAACGTTTTTAGAAACTATTTTAAAAAACCCCACTCACCGAGTACAACTAAACCAAACTAAAATGCGCTCCCTGTGATTTGACTGGATTCTCCCCTGGCTGCGTTCCTGCACGAATCCTCCGTCTCATTCTCACACGGGGCCGTGTTCTCTCGTGAGCACAGACGCGGCGGGAGCTAGAACTCTCTCCCCTTCGGTTGTACCGCGTTCCACACGCGGAGTTGCGTTTACAGAGGCGGGTTGACAGCAGGGGAGAGATGGCCTGTAATTGTGACCCCACCTTCAGGTTTTTAACCTCATGAACGTGTCAGCCTCCCGGCAGCCCCTCAAGACAAGCGGCTCCGTGTCATCAGCACGGGGACAGGGTCTCGACGCGGCATCGCGCAGATCTCCCTAGACGTAGATCACGATCACGTACGGAAGAGACTTCAGGATTCAGGCGTTAAATGAAGTTGGCTTTTCCCTTTTATGCCTTGTTTGTATTGTCCCCTGTCTAACACACTAAGGACACTCACTGTACCTGTAGCTCAACGTGTCTCTGCTGTCCGGACGCTAAAACGTGCCTCTGAGTCACCACGACCTGTGCGGTAGCTGGGACGTTGGCATTGTTGGAGATGGGACTCCAGATGAGAAGCTGGTCTCCACCGGGTTCCAGACCGGATTAGCCGATTGTGCCGGTCATCTGACTGCAACTGTCAGTTTGCATGTGCTACTTTGGAGCCTTTTTTAAAAAAATAAAACAACTGATGTCAGTGGGTTGGGTGTGTGTGTGTGTGCGTGTGTGTGTGTGACAAGCCAGAATCGCCAGATGACATTCCTCCCCCCACCCCTTTTTTTTTTTGAGACAGAGTCTCACTTTGTCACCCGGGCTGGAGTGCCGTGGCGTCAGCCTCGCTCACAGCAACCTCCAACTCCTGGGCTCAAGCGATCCTCCTGCCTCAGCCTCCCGAGTAGCTGGGACTACAGGCACGCGCCACCGTGCCCGGCTAATAGTTTTTTTTTTCCTATTTTTTAGTAGAGACGGGGTCTCGCTCTTTCTGGTCTCCATCCCCTGACCTCGAGCGATCCTCCTGCCTCGGCCTCCCAGAGTGCTGGGATGACAGGCGTGAGCACCGCGCCCAGCCTCTTCCACTGAACCTTGCTCTGCTCTGGGGAAGTCCGTCCCATAGGTTATGGCTCCCTTTGACCCAGGGCCACCTCTGCTCTGCTCGGTGCCTCCTGCCCGTGCAGAGGAAGGGGGTGCTGCCAAGCAGGGGAGAGTTTTGTAGACCCGGGAGAGCCCAGCAGCTCTTCTTCAGAGGGATGACGCCTCTTTGCAGGAGTAGCCACGCGAGTCTCATCATGAGCTTTTTAGAACCCAGGAGTCGTTAACTTTTTGGTTGACGTTAGTGTTCTTTGAGAGGAGAGTTTCTCCAGGCTTGTTCGCATGGAACAATGATCTCGTCCCCAGAGAAAGCTCCCTCCAGAGCTTTGGCAAAATCCCTCTGATCTGGGCCTTTTTAGAAAATGTAGGAGTCGGTGATCAGGAAGCTTTTGTGGAGCATCGTCAGGAGAAGGGAAGCTTCCCCGAGTGAGAGGATGAATAGAAATCACTTCCAGGCTACTAATCAGCCGCCTTCCCTTTGGAATCATCCTGACACGGGCACCGATGACGTATTTTATTCCCAATGTTGCGTATTTAGAAGAAACCGGAATGTTTCAAGAAGCACAGCCCAGGATCATTCCGGTAGCACCGCAGTTCTCGGACTCTTCACCACCGAAGGGCAGAAAGGGAAGCTGGTAATTCAAGCTCTGGTGCTTTGGTTCCCAGGAACGTGGTCCGTAAAGCGGCGTCTGACGCCGCGACACCCACGCGTGCTCCGCTGCGGGCAGAGCTCCTGCAGTCACGCGTCTTGGCTCATGAACAATAACTGGCCACTCGTCACTTTACGCTCCGCAGCCAGCTCTGGGCCACGCTCGGCCTGGTTGCTGGTGTGAGCGCCGGGACGCGTTCTGTTACATTCCGGCGAAGACCCCTCTTGATGATGGGAACGTCTGAACTCTCTGGGTGTGAAAATCACGAGTATCTGTGTCGACGCTGTTCACGTTTCACGTTTCGTCAGCATCTGCCGGGGCTTCTGGCTGAATCTGGAAGAGACCCGATTGCGGGACGGGGAGGGAGGGCGCGCGCAGGGACCTTGGCATCGGGTTCTGTCCACGCATAAGGACGTGGCTGCTAGTTACCAGCGCTGCCGGGTTATTCTGGGTAATCGGCAACCAGGCGTCGACAGTGTTGCCTGGCACAGGCCTCTTTCCTTTCCCGAGGTCCAGGACCTCACAAGTGGCGGCGCTCTGCGCCCGAAGCAGGGAGTTCCAGAAGCTAATTGCTGCTTTCCATCGCGATTGCTTTTCTTTCTTTTTTTTTTTTTTTTGAGACAGAGTCTCACT